AACTTTTATCAAACATTTCTCACAGAAAGAATTATTTTTGCATGGGCAATTTCTCTATATGATATATAAATTAAGGCCAGATCCAATGCGCAAGGCTCCTTCACATAGAAGCATCTCTTTTTAAGAGAAGTTGTTTTCATGCCAGAACATGTGGCTTAATATTTAAGAATTAATACAAGTGCAACCTTCTATAAAAATGCATAAATAGTACAGGAGCTGGAAAGTAATGCTTCCCCCCTTCCTCTTCCTCCTCATCTATTCATATTTGCTTTAGTGGCTACAGGTTTTCTCTAAGTTTTGATATGGATACTTACTACTCATCTACTTAAGAGCTGGAAGTATAGCCAACCTTAATATAATTACTACAAAGATAATAAGAAGATAAAAGACCTTATTATATCATAAACTTACAAGCAAGTACTAGACCGTGCACTCGCCTAGACATCACCTGAAAGAACACAATAAAACATGGGACGACGCCCGGTCAGCGAATAATGCTGGTAACCCACTAATACATGTGAAATATCATACATAGATAAGATATAAGTTGTAAAGCCATTTTCGAAACGGAATACATAAGTATATAAGTACAAAACCAAGAGTAATAGTCAACACAAGACTCAACACTCTCAATCAATAACACGGGAACACATCCCAAGACCACAAAGTACAACAACGACTCACAAGAAGTCTCAAGATATGATCTATCATCACACAATAGATCAACACCCGACATGCACAACGCAAAGGAATAAGACTCACCCACGGCAACACTTGCCTTTGTGACTACACACGTCACAAGAGAAGAACTCACAACAACAGCTACACAAGCCCTCGTGACATCACCCATCACGAGTTGATATGCCTTCCTTATGCCCGGTTCCAACCTTATGGCTACCCTCAACCTTATTTCTTCTTCCAACCATTACCTCCAGTACCCCTGTACAACCAAGTCCAACCTTTTCCCTCCTGGGACCGTCGTCCCCCACCAACGACCACCAACGAGACTACCAATTTCATAGTACACGAGGGTACCGTACACACACACGGCAACACATGCCACCCAAGAATCACGTGAACCTTACACAAAGGTCACAACTCCATAATCACGTCACGGCCACCACGAGGACCGCTGCAATACCTTGGTGACTAGTGTCCCATACCACTAATCGTGCAATCCAGGTAAAGCCACACACACCACATCACAACAGGAATCAATCAACGGATCACAACGAAGATATGAAACCATACTCAATCAAGGAATGGAACACAGTCCAACAACAATGATGAATAACACAAGTTATCATCAACCAATCGGAAGGTACAAACAACACACACGCTAGCATTTAAACACCAAACTAGCATGCTTATCAAACGGGTAAACCAAACGTAGTTCCGAAGAACACACGAGACTCATCACGGTTCAACGAAATACAATGTTGAACACTTAGCACGATTCAAGACACCAAAACCTACATGGAATCCTACCATATAGTTCTAGAAATACGAAACATCAAGAAGACGCGCAAATAGTTCCACAAAAGAACATCGGGAAGTCAAAAGACCAAATACCGAGTCAAAAGAATCACGGGGAATAAATCCCAATCAAACACCACAGTGTCCGCGGGTAGGCTCCCACCCGTGGTTCCGCCCGCGGGTACACACCCACGAAGCATCTGTACCCCGCGGGTAGGCGGCGGGTAGACCCCCTGCCCGCCGTTCCGCCCGCGGGTACGTAACCCTGTACCAAATAATCCCTTCGGGGATTTTCATCTCCAAACTCAAATTCAAGTCCAAAACATGCAAAATCTCACCCAATACAACAAAATGACTTGAATCAAAGGAATAGCCACGCAATGGCACAAATGAACCCTAAACACAAGCTCTAGATATGCATTTTCACAAGACAATGCATAAACACTCACATTTCATAGCAAAAACGCAAGTAGAATCCAAGAAATCACATATAGGTAAGCAAAATAGATTTTGTAGAGCATGGGTTACCTCTTGTAGACTAAAGACTTCACTTTACACCTCAACAAGCTCCTCTCAAGGCTCACCTTCCAAACCCACTTCAAGAACATACCAAAAGATCATAAAGATCATATCTTTAAGAAAAGACACCTTAGATAAAACCAAAAACATAAGATGAACCTAGATCTTACCCTCCTAGATGCCCAAATATGTGAAAGGTTGAATCTTGGAAGCAACTCTTGAAGTTTTGGCAAGGCTCCAACTTGGCTTTGAAGAAAAGCTATCTACCTTTTTAGAGAGAAGGTGGAGCTAGATTTTTAGAAAGTGTAAGGAAAGAATGAAGATGGTCTACTAGGTTAGGTTACAATACTAACACCAAGTGAAAGGTCAAGAATACCCTTACTAACATAAGGAAGTGTAAGGAACAAGGGAACTCCTTACAAAGCTTAAGGTACAACTTTGACTTTGGGGTTGACTAGTCAATTACTAGTCCCCAACTATTGAATTTTCAGGATTTTAGGAATTAATTCACCAATGGAAATAGGATTAATTACTCAATTAATCCCTTAATTAAATTTTGGATTTCGGGGTGTCACACAAAGGCAGTAAAAAATAAATAAAAAATGTTCAGTAAGTAAAATGAGAATAGGGTTCAAGAAAACTATTAAACATGTTATTTTAAAACTTAATTGAAAAACATAACAAAACATGTGATCCCAATACTTAGTAGTGTTGGAGAAAATGAAAAGATCCTTTGAACTAATATTCAATTAACAACCCCATAATCACAAACTTTGAGCTAAAATGTATTAAAATACTTCAAAAATGATATTCTTACAAATAGACCAGATTCTGTAGAGATCCAATTGAATCAAGAATTGGACCAAAGAAACTACAACCAATTAACATTCTGCATTAAAAAGTAAGAGAACTATTACTCCATACTTCATATCAATTGTAAGCATAGAATTGAAGCTGTATTAATTCCTATTTTACAGACAGTTTTCAAGTTTTTCTTACAAGATTCTAAGATTCTTCAATTTTCCAATTGAAGATGGTAAAGCTCCGTTTAAACCAATGTTGTTTGATAGATCCCTGCACCAGGAATCTGATATTCACCAACCCATCTATGTCTCCAGATAGAACATTAATATTCTAATATTCACAAAGTTACCATTAGCCTTGGATCAAAAATAAGTAAAGGAAATTATTACCTTAATATGATGCATAATATAATAATATATACTAACTTGCTTCTCAAACTCCACAACTCTAGCTTCAGCTTCCCTAAATCTCTCCTCAGCAACCCTAAGCTGTACAAAAAAGTTCAGTGTTAGAATTAAGGATAGAAGATGAAAGACTCGGCAGATTTTCTTAAACAATTTTCAATTTCAATCCCAAACCAATTAGAACACTTCATTGCCTGAGTATTTTCCACAACAAGACTTAAGCAGCTGCTACCACCATACCCATTGCTTTCTTCCTCTATACCCACCATTTCTACATCAAGCAAGCCCTAATTCCTGAAGTTGTCCACTATACATGTTAATATAAATATATTCCGACTAGAGAGAAACCTGATACCTTCAAACCACCAGACTCGCCGTTAGTCTCCATTGAGGCGATGGAGGAGAAGAAATGGAGGCGATGAAGGAGAAGAAGATGATAAGAAATGGAAAAGAGGAATGAGCGGAAGAGATTCGAGACGGACGGCGGATTCCATTATTATAATGACCACAAGCCCATATAAACCGGCGGAAGAATTAAATCAATTCATTAATGAGATCGATAAATGACAACAATACCCCTAATTCCATAGAAACTAAGCGCACGCGAAATTAAAATGAACCAAATCTTAGGCGTTGAAAATAAAAAATAAATGCACATGATATGGCCTCACGAACTCACCTGCCTAAGACCTTGCACCGGATTCAATATATATATATATATATATATATATATATATATATATATATATATATATATATACACACACACACACACACACATACATGCATGGACACAATCAAATGAGAACCCCGCTCTCGTGTGAACTACACAATTAGGCATTACAAGTTACACAATTACGTATTACGAGATGCACAATTCAAAATACAAAAATTGCTGCGTACAAAAATGTGGGTTTCTAGAATGCAAAATCACTCATATGCAAATGCACAGTCAAGTATTACAAGTTTCACAAAAGGTAGTTCGCGCGCGGGCACACACACACACGCTCCAGATGCAAACTGTGAACACGCACCACACAAAATTATAAAATGCATATGATGATATGTAAAAGTGCACTCAAGAATTGGTGCACCCTATGACAGGTAAAAGTACGTCCAACTCAATAACTAGTGCACTCTGTAATTTTGCGTAGTGTACTTTTAGAGTTCGGACATTCACACCTAATGCGGCCTTTATATATATATAAAGATGCTATTTCCATGTTTTTACATTTATTGGCATAAACAAACAAGTTTATTCTCTAGCATTCAAAAAAAAAAAAAAAAAAATACCCAAAATGGTCCCTCGATTATAGCTAAATTCACAAATTGGTCCTCGACTTTCAATTTCAACCAATTAAGTCTTTAACTTTGCAATTTTAACACAATTTAGTCCTCTGTCTATTTGACCGTTTGTTGACTGTGATTTTTGAGGATATATATGTAATTTCATGGTCCATTGTCGGGTTTTTAAGGTTCCGGTTGCGTTTCCAGAGCGCACTGTTACATTTGAATCCACTGCCGAAAGCAATCTACCAAATCCGGTCGCCTTTCTTCATCCTCCCTTTGAATTCAATGTAGTTGAGTTCGCACTAGAGCGATTAAGACGACTTGTTTCCGAACCAGTACAACGTCATCTTGGAGGCCTCCACGTGCTCCGACGACAGCTGAAGGTTCTTCTGGAGATCGTCGATCACGGTCAACAAATGGTCAAATAAATGGAGGATCGAAATGGTAAAACTTAATAGGCCCAAGAGTATATATATGGGCCCGATAAACCCATTTCCTAATCCCCCTGTTTCAGCCTCAGGCTTCATCAGCATTCACATCGCGGTTCTGCAACAGATAAGATCAGACAGACAGAGTAGCATAAGGTAGAAACGCTGCTTTCAAAGGCGCACTGAAACCTCTCAGAGTTTTAGTATAACAAAAATGGCGGCGTACTCGGCAGCAGCTCTGTCATGGAGCTCATCTTCGTTGCTTGGAAATTACAAGCTAAGCAAGAACGCACCACTTGGAACTGCAAAACTGGTAGAGAGGACCTCAAATTTCACTATTGAGTGCCAAAAGAAAACCAAGAAAATAAGAAAGGTAAGCGGAAAAATGTCAGTATATAAAATTGTCTTGTCGGGTTTTCAATAATTTCGTTTTAATTTTTAAATTTCGTCATACCCAAAGTCCATGGGTTTCTCTGTGATTTTCTTTGTTTGGTGGGCACAGATAATACTGAAAGAGGATGTGCAAGACTTGGGGAAGAAAGGGCAACTTACGAGTGTGAGAGCAGGGTACTACAGGAATTTCCTGCTGCCAATGGGCATGGCTCAAATTGTCACCCCTCAGCTTCTCAAGTAAGGTTTTGGGAAGTTTAGTTAATTGCTTATTTTTCATGAATTATGCGAAGCTTAAGCTGGCAAGTCATATGTCCATTGGAATAAAGTTCAAATTATCAATTAGACTTTTTTATTTGCACCATTTTTCTTGAAGTATGTGAATATTAGGCTGAGAACTGATATTTGATTTGGAACAAAATTGCATTTTAATTCTCTACTATTGTTTCTGTTTAAAGATTGCACTTTGCATAAAAGTGTGATTCTTTATACTTCTCTGGTGCTGGTTTGAGTGGATGTGAGTGGACATTAGGGTATATATCTTATTATGTAAGCTTTGAGGTTCTGTGAAGATACTGATGAGAATCTAGCTGGTATAGGGGCTGTTTGGTAAATAGCTGTTAGCTGATTGAGTTAGTGGGTTTGACTAGTTGACAGTATTAGTTGATTGAAGAAAAGTTTTTGGTAAATTAGCTGTTAGTTGATAATTGATTACATGCAAAATGACTTTCTCAGCTGATCACTTTGAGCAGCTTTTTGAATTTTAGCATTTTAGAGCAATAAGTTGTTACAAAAAGCTAATTAATCAAACACTCATATTGATTGTTTAACCATGTCAAACAGCTAATGGTGGTCAAATAAGCCAAAATTAGCTGATAAGCTAACTATGTTACCAAATAAGACCATAATCCTTTTTATGTACTCCGTCACAAAAATGATCTTTTTTGGTTAAATTCAGTATTTTGCTTCTCTATTCAAACATTTTTCAATCGACTATACAAGTAATATGTAGAGCATGGGCAATGTGCATGGACAACCTTCCATGTTATACTTTTATATATATATATATATATATATATATATATATATATATATATATATATATATATATATATATATATATATATATATATCCATGAAGCTTGTGATAGTCACTCCTCTTCAGACAATGTGCTTATTGCCTTGCAGCATGCTAGAAGGTTTCTACGGTGTTTCTTCCATCTGAAAATACACCTATTTAGAATTTAACTTGAAAAAAAAAAAAAAAAAAAAACAATGTGAGTCCATTATCAAGAAGAGTTGGTGCTATGGGTTTTATTTGGATTATAAGTAGTGAACAACTTCATCATGGATCATAAAATTTTAGGAGTACATACATTTCATTTCAGAGAAATGAAGATTGAAGAAGAGAGAATCGAGGCTGAGAAAAAACGGGTATGATACCAACTTGTAGATAACATATTTCCAATTGTTTTTCTTTTATCTACATCTAAATCTATAAAATGTTAAAGTGATAGATACTGAGATCTACTATTTAATTTTGCATTCAGGTGAAAGAAGAAGCACAACAACTTGCTCTAATTTTTGAAACTGTTGGAGGCTTCAAGGTGAAACGCAAGGGCGGGAAAGGAAAACAAATATTTGGAAGGTGAGTTCGAATGTTCAGTAATAAAAGTGTAATGAGCATCGAGTTTATCTTTGTTTGCATTGTTATTCACTTGTGGCCATTTTCAGTGTCACTGCCCAGGATCTTGTTGACATAATCAAGGCACAGCTACAGAGGTACAGTTCCCCTATAAACATTTTCGGTATGATGTCTGAGTGTGTGACTAATCCCCAAATCTTAACTGGATTATTGGCATGATTATTTACGTATTATTCATGTTTTTCATATAGGGAAGTGGACAAAAGAATAGTATCTCTGCCCGAGATTCGTGAAACTGGAGCATATACTGCTGAACTGAAGCTTCATCCAGAAGTTACTGCGCGAGTTCAAGTGATCGTGTCTGCAAATTGAAGGGCAGAGACTTGCTGGAGCGGTTTATACTAATTTATGGATTTTCTTCTTGCACTGTTTTGTCAAGGTAAATTGTCATTTAATTATGAAAATCTTCAATGTTCCCATCTTGCAAGGCTTATGATTATGGATTATAAAATGTTATGACCAAGTTAAAAAGTATGGTATAATCCATAATCCATAATCATTGCCAAAGATGTAGGCATGTAAATATCCTATTTGATTATGGAATCCTGGTAATAAAGCACTTATTGAAAAATTAGTATAATGTTTTCTAACTTCTAATTTGGATGATTTTTGCCTTTACTAAGTGGGCAAAAGGATTTTTTTTCACAAAAAAAAAGTGACCATACACCAACTATGTGGCTGTGTTTTTTACTTTAGAAGAAGATATGTAATATTTCAAGAACTCTGGTATTCCCCGCTTCCTTATCCATATTTCCATATTCCTAGATCCTGGTTGTTGTGGCCCGCACGGGCTTAGCTCATTGGTTTAGTAGGCAGTATTTGGGAGAAGAGACCAAGATTCGAACCTCGGCAGCGGCAGTGTGGGGATTATGCCTAAAGTGGGCAGATCCCTTGTGCGCACCGGCAGTTGGCTCTGTCTGCTGAGTCATTGAGTCACCGTGATTTACATCCTCCCAAATCTTATGGGGCCTTTGTGGTTAGGGATTCAACCTTTTGGGAGAAGATTTTGGCTGTTGTGACTTTATTTTAGCATTTATGGTGTTTTATGATCTATTTGTGAAACTTGTACTAATCACTAATGCCATTTCTAATGCAGGGAAGGAGGAGACTTCATGGCTAAATATGAGGTTAAGCTACCTTAAAGTAAGTGTTTTTAATTTGTAATTGTAAAAGAATTAACTGATTTTTATGAATTTGCATCATTTGGTGCTTTGTATCAATGTGTTTATTACAATCTTATGTTAAATTAAAAATATTGATTTCTAGTAGAAAGGTCTGGTGCAAGTTACTGCAGTTGTGTTTCTAATATTTCTGATTTGAATGGACAATAAATTAGTAATTATTACTCCATTCTTGGATGGGAATTCAGTTTTGGTATAGTCTATTTATTTTCTTTCCTTTTTGGTCTCTCTTTAAGAAAAAGAAAGTTAAATGTGAAAAAAATGGGGTTTTAACAATAGTTTATGCCATTTCAAGCTTGTCATACTTTAAAAGAGTTAATTCTACCCGAAGTCCCTTGTCTTTGATGGCAGATCCAAATTTAGTCTCAACTATCATTTTTATCATTTAACATCTCAGACTATTATTTTTTGGACGCTTTTAGTCATTTTCATGACTTTTTCTATTTTTTGTAAGGATATTTTTGTCTTTTCAAAATTTTTATTATTTTTCTGGTTAATCAGTTTAGAACTTTAGGTATCATATGATTTTTAGTAACTATATTTTTCAATCAGTTTTTAGTAAAATCATAAACCAATTAATCCGGTTATTATCTCCTGCCATTTCACGTTATTATCTCCAAAAAGTGAGAATATTAATTTGTTCAAAAAATAATAGTTTGGAACTAAATTTGGAATTGCACAAGTGGAAGTCCCACTCTACTTTAAACTATGAATTTAGAACAAATTGCACTTTTGGTCCTGTGAGTATTAGGGTACTGGCAATTTGAGTACGTGACTTTCAAAACTCCCAATTTAAACCTTTAACTATGCATTTTTTGGCAGATTTGACCAAATTGCCGGCCAATTTTGGCCGGAAAATGATTTAATGGTTCGAATTATTTTGTGATGAGGGTAAAAACGTCATTTCACTCCCTTCTTCTTCATTCTCCCTTTCTTCTTCGTTCTTCTTCTTCTTCACCGCATTATGGCCAAATGGAATTAACGCATTCAACTACCCAATTGATTATATTGAAATGCAATACTTGTCGTCTTTTAATTGTTCGATCATTTGGCCATAATGCGGTGAAGAAGAAGAAGAACGAAGAAACTTGTTCGATCATCGGCCGAAGAAGAAAGTTCTACGTCTTTTAATTGTTCGATCACCGGCCAGCGCCTCGTCCTCCTCGCTGGTGTAGTCCTCGTGCTTGGGCACCGGAGCGATCAATCTCCGGTCATCGTCGGCACTAACATGGTTCTTCTGGCTACTATCATCATGGCCGGACGTGGAACAAAACATCCTAAAAGACGGCAAGAGATGCAGTATCTGCAGGCGGCGATCTCGGAGGCAATGAGGCTGTACCCGCCGGTGCCGGTGGACACAAAGGCCTGCCTGAAAGATGACGTCATGCCGGACGGCATGTTCATCGGAAAAGGGTGGTTCGCGACGTATCACACGTACGCCATGGGGAGAATGGAGAAGATTTGGGGGAAAGATTGCTGCGAGTACAAGCCGGAGAGGTGGTTGGACGAGAATGGGGAGTACAGGCAGGAAAGTCTGTTCCGGTTTCCGGTGTTCCACGGCGGGCCGAGAATGTGTCTGGGAAAGAAATGTCGTGAAATCCATTGCGGCTTCGATTCTGGAGAGGTTTGAGATTGAGGTGTTGTCGGAGGAGAAGGGAAAGGTTCCTGATTTTGTGTTGTCTTTGACTCTTAGGATGAAGGGTGGGTTGCTTGTGAAGGTTAAGGATGAAGAAGAAGAAGAACGAAGAAGAAAGGGAGAATGAAGAAGAAGGGAGTGAAATGACGTTTTTACCCTCATCACAAAATAATTCGAACCATTAAATCATTTTCCGGCCAAAATTGGCCGGCAATTTGGTCCGGAGGACCAAATCTGCCAAAAAATGCATAGTTAAAGGTTTAAATTGGGAGTTTTGAAAGTCACGTACTCAAATTGCCAGTACCCTAATACTCACAGGACCAAAAATGCAATTTGTTCTATGAATTTATTTGAAACCATTATTTATTATATTCTTATTTTTCTAGCTATACTTCATCTGCACATCCATCCTGAAGGTATTTCGATCTTTAAAATAACAATAACAATAACAACGGGAAGAAATTATTATTCTGAGCATCATGAAATTAGTGGAGGTACCCCACAAATCCACAATTTCACATTGAAATAACTAATCAAAAATAATGCATTAATAGAAAATTATGGATACCAACTAAATTAAATTGAATAGTCACTTCGAATGAACTATTTATCAGACTTTTGATTTTTAAGAATATTCATATGAAATGTGTCAGATGCTTCCATTTGGCAATATTCATATTTAATGAACTAAAATGTTTAGCAATCTCTTGTCCCAAATAATGTTGGAGGGGTTGGAGAACTTGATCAAATAGTTTGCAAATTTGTTTATTAAACATTTTATATGGTGATTAAAAAAAGAATCATAATTGAGTAGTTTACTAACTACAAACAACATATTTTAAGCTCTGTTTGACAGAGCTTATTTAAGCTACTAATAAGGGAGTTCTGTTTGATAATGTTTTCAAAATAAGATAGTAGCTTAAAATAAGAGTTTATTTTCAAAATAAGCTAGTAGCATCCTAACCTTTTTTTTCATCTCTATTCTTATTATTTTAAATGAATGACATCATTTACTCTTCCAAATTAAACCTTTTTATTCGTAAAAACAGAGATTCACGTAAAAAGAAAGGAAGAAAATTTAATATATATCTCATATATATTATAAAAACAATTTTTTTACTTTTATTTTAATTTAATATATATTATAAAAATATTTTTTTAATAAATTAAATATATTTAATAAATAAAAAAAAATATAATAATCATATCATTTAAATTTTATGAAGATGTCCTTTTTTTGTCTTTTTACATTTATTATTAGCTTATCAAAAAATTAATTTTACCAAACACTTTTAACCATAATCATCTAGTTAACAGCTCCTCAGTTTTCAACTTCGAGCTTATAGCTTTTCAACTTCAACTACTTTTCAGCTTTCAGCTACCTTTTCAGTTCGGTTTGCCAAATATAGCCTTAATAATACAAAATAAAAGCAAAGGAGAAAATAAGCAGCAGAACAAAGTGAAAAAGAATATATATATATATATATATATATATATATATATATATATATATATATATATATATATATATAATACACTCCGTATTTTTCTTCTAAAAAAGAGAAAGGTATAGAGGGAATTGTTTATATATATATATATATATATATATATATACGTGTAGAGGAATTGTGTATGTGATAATTAAGTATATGGCATCAGTTCCATCTCCAAATTTCCGATTTGCTTCTTAAATGTGAGGCAATTGGGATTTTTTTCAGATTGGATTAGTCCCCTTTAGAAAGGACAACACTTTCATGCCATATCACTTTTGTCTACACCTTACAAAAATTATAAAGAAGATAATTTTATTGTGTTTTGCAACTATACTGAATCCTGTATTAGTTAGTAAATAATTATTCTACTAAAATTACAGAACTACTGCACAATGGTGTTTGTAAGTACCGCGCAACTTTTCGATAAAAGAATACAATTATTATTGTTAGTTGTAATTATGGTATAGGAAGAAGAAGTAGATGTGAAATATAATGAAGGTGGCATATATATATATATATATATATATATATATATATATATATATATATATATATATATATAGGCGGGTTCAGGTGCGGCAGTGTCTTACTGTGCGGCTATTTCTTACGGTACGGCAACACCAATAGTTTAACAAATATGCACCATCAACGTTAGGAAAATACACCACACAAAATAGAGTAAACAGAATCCTGCATCACCAAACACACACCATTAGGTGTGGGTAAAAACACCATACACTGTTCGAAAATACACCATTGGGGATGGTGAGTTATATGGTGTATTTTTTTGAGTCTGTTGTGTATTTTGTGATGTTTTATTGCATTTCATTGTGGTGTGTTTTTATTACACTGTTGGTGCATATTGTTAACACTGTTGGTGTATTATGAAATTTGACCGCACCGCCGCACGGTAAGACCCCGCCGCATATGAGCGCTCATATATATATATATATATATATATGGTGAGTTGTTGGAAATATATATAATGAAGTATGAAGTGAATTGCACAAACATATATACCTCATCTGGGCTAGGAGTATGTAGCTCATATATAGCTTTAATTTGCTTATTTATGATAATATAATTGAGCCGAAAGAGGATCTTTGAAATGACAATTGACCCAAAATCTTTTACTAGTTGCCTTACTGATTATAGCACTCAAACTTGTCTCTAACAAGACTACTCCATCCATCCATTCATGCTAATTTGGAATTCTTATATATATATATATATATATATATATATATATGTTGAGTTTGTCTCATACTAGGAATAGGAGTGAAACAATTCTCTTATTCATAGTGATGGTGATAGTGGTGCCACCACCGCTTAGGGATACAACCAATATATTTATAGGCATCTAATCCCTATACAATGGATCTACCCGTTTCACTCCTATTCCTAGTATGAGACAAACTCATATTCCTAATCCCTATATGAGACAAACTCAACAATCTCCACCTTGGCAAATATGCTCTTTAGGAGAAAAAGATAACTCAACAAATCTCCACCTTGACGAATATGCTCTTTAGGAGAAAAGACTTATCTCACCATCCTCACCTTCACATATATGCCCTTTAGGAGAAAAGACTATCTCCACCTTGGCAAATATGTCCTCTAGGAGAAAAAGATAACTCAACAAATCTCCACCTTGACAAATATGTCCCTTAGGAGAAAAGACTTATCTCACCATCTCCACCTTCACAATTATGCCCTTTAGGAGAAAAATATTTATCTCACATATACACATGGGTAGGAACAACCATGTTTATCCCAACTAGCCAGCCATATGCATACGCAGCATCAAACGTTACACAGTGCATGTACACGAACTGCTTTGTTCCAAGCCATTCGCCCCTCAGCCGTCGACCTGTTATACCGCCGCGACTCATGTTAACTGTCTCGTTTAGCTGACCTCCTGCATCCGGCTCATACCAGGTCCATGTCCCCTCCGGGTATCCACGCTGCCCCAACACAACAGCGCCCCTGCAAAGTCACACTAAACCCGTGTGCCTTGCCCAATGCTCCACTAACCAGTAATTACCACTGGTTAGTAACACGCACCACGCAGCATCAAACGTTTCCCCGTGCATGTTCACGAACTGCTTTGTCCCAAGCAATCCGTCACACCAAGCCATATTAGCCCAACGCATACCAGCCTTGACTCACGCCAAGCCGGGCCCATACCAGATCCATATCCCCTCCTGGTATCCACGCTGCCCCTAACACAACAGCGCCCCTGCAAAGTCACACTAAACCCGTGTGCCTTGCCCAATGCTCCACTAACCAGTAATTGCCACTGGTTAGTAACACGCACCACGCTGCATCAAACGTTCCCAGTGTATGTTCACGAATCGCTTCATCCCGAAGCGTCTGCCCATACCAGCCGTGACTCATGCCAAGCCCGGCCCATACCAGTCGTAACTCATGACAAACTCGACTCATACCAGCCGTGACTCTTGACAAGCCCGACCCATACCAGTGCCATACTGGCCCATACCGAGCCAATATTGACCCATAGCGATACCAACCGTGACTCATGACAAGCCCGACCCATACCAAGTCCGCGACCCCTCCTGGTATCCGCGCTGCCCAACACTACAGCGCCCCTCACCACCTTCTCATCTAGCATCTAGAAACGCCCAACAAGTCCAAACAATGTTCGAACTTGTTACTAGTTACCGCTAGAACATCACCTTCACTATAATAAGAGTCATCAACTTGAACCATGTTCATAGCTTCCTGCTTTTTCAACTCCTTCCAATCAGCCTCTTCCAGATTTGCTGGATTTTCCGCCCTCAAGGTTTTCAGAAGGCCCTGATATGCCAACAAATCCTTTACCCTAGACCGCCATAATCCAAAATTCCTTATACCATCAAACTTTGATACCTCAAATTTTGTACTTGAACTAGTCATCTCAACTATGCTCTGATACCAATTTGTTGAGATTAACAAGAACAAGAAAAATAATAATAATGGCAAATAGGGTAAAGAAGACAAGATTTACGTGATTCGGCAAAGTACCTACATCCACGGGAGTGAAACAATTCTCTTATTCATAGTGATGGTGATAGTGGTGCCACCACCGCTTAGGGATACAACCAATATATTTATAGGCATCTAATCCCTATACAATGGGTCTACCCGTTTCACTCCTATTCCTAGTATGAGACAAACTCATATTCCTAATCCCTATATGAGACAAACTCAACAATATATATATATATATATATATATATATATATATATATATATATATATAATTTTTTATATTTGTATTTCATGAAATAAGACTAATTAAGTTGAGTTTTATTTGAACCTCAATTAAAAATTTACAATTTTCTTATGAGTGTTACTACATAATAATGTCTCTTTTTTTTATACTATACTAATATTTGCATCTCTACTAACCTAATTGATTCTTGGTTATACCCATTCAAAATCTATGCGTTCTTCCAAAAATATTGCTACATAATAATCTGTATTTTATGCATGATGGTA